ATGGTCCCCGGCTCTGCAGCTGTCACAGCTGCCATATGCTGAAGGGTGGCAATTCATTTTCCTCTCTGGCATGTAGCAACCTGCAGCCCAGCAGAACTCATCACTGCAGCAACTCAACCAGGAGATGACAGAGGGTTGAAGATGTTCAGAGGGAAGTGGTCCATGCTTCCCCCATCACTAATCAGGGCAGGGTGTCTGCATGAGGCAATAGCAGTAACCTTACTCCCCACCCCACAGTCAAGGGTGGGCAATGTTACTGGGAATAAGGATGAAGTTCCACTGATGTTAATGCCACATGCTTAATGCCAGTTTTAGCCACTTCTGGCACTTGGAGATGGTAACTTTCCTTCAGGGATGTCAGGTCTACTCTCCTTGACCCCATGAGAATGGAAGAAAACAACTACCCACCTGTACAGATGGAAGGACTTCACCTCGAACAAGGGAGAGGGGTATGCTTAGTGTGAACATCACTACTTCACCGGAAACCATTCTTTTCCAGCTAATTTTTTTATTCAAAATATTAAATTACTTCCCCCACAAGGCCTGAGTCCCAGTTTGTTCTGCAGCTGAGTGCTTAAAAGAAAATGGGTGGAGATGGCACAGCACAAGATATGGCATTTCTCAGATGGTGGGGAAGAAAGGACAGTGCCTCCCAGCAAGTCATGGTGAGCCACTGAAGGTTTTTCTCCAGATGGAAGCAGAGAAAGGTTTCCCCATCATCAGCCCCATGCAGACACATACCCACATCCACCTCCAGGAAGGTCAGAAATAGCACCCGGCACACACCCCAACACTCATCCCACCAGCTTATCATGGGGATGAGCAGCTGAGCTTCTCCTTTTCTTCCCTGCTGCAAAATCCTACAGAAGGAGCCCACTAGCTTACAGAGGTTGAGCAATACCATGTGAGTGAGTGACAATGACAGAAAAGAGGCTTTAGCATGTGTCACCTCAAGCCCTTGGTCCTGTCCCAGGGTCTACCATCCCAGTGAGCCATGAGGTATTTGTACAGTAAAGACTGCAGGTTAGCTGCTCTTCTAACTCAAGAAGAGTCCTCCTCACTCCTCCTTGACCAGCCTGGGACAGTGCTGCCTGGAGAGGAGCACCAGGCACCTGCCCTCCCACCTTCTCACCCACAAGCCACCATCAAAGCTGGGTGACAAGAGTCATGGAAGGACTCAGCATTGTCAGCAATGACCCAACTTAGGACACTTTCCTGCTCAACCTGCAGAAATGATCTCCAGATCACCACTGCATCCCACAAGTAAAGGGATACAAAGTCTTACCTCTCCAGTGTCAAAAGATAAAGCGCCAAGATTCAAAACAGGATGTGGGTTTAATCGGCAAATCCAATCCCCTGAGGGATCTACACTACAGTGATTCTAAGGCACTGCATGTTACCACTGAATACAAACAACCTAGCATCTCCAAACACTCACTAAGAGGTCTCCACACCTTAGGCTAGGCACTACTGTACATCCTGAGCACATGAACATGGGCAGCAGCACTGGGTGGCCCAGAATGAGGGCTGCAGGTTGACCTGGATCCTCGCATGGACATTTCCTCTCATAATTGCAGGAAATTGCAATTTAGGCTGTGTGCTGGAGGAAGTGTCCATACCTGTCAGGAGTGATGATATAGCTTCAACTATCTCAGAAAAACCCTGTAGGGCCATGTCCCAGGGAGCACCATAAGCAGGGGATGAGGCAGGAGCTGGAGGGACTCCAACACTAGCCATGCCCTTCCCAACAGTCCTACAGGGTCTCAGCATGGCTGGCAGAGCCATGGGTGGGACAAGGTCAATCAACAGCCCCAGACACAGCAAGAGGATGAACCAGGACCAGGGTCCCTACAGAAAGCCTGGCCTGGAGTAGGAGAAGGGCCTGGAGACAATGCTACAAGGCAGGTCCAAGGTCCATGCAGCAGCCAGGGCTGCAAATAAGAACACATTTAGTGCAGCTCAGACAGGGACAGAGGATCCAGACTTGAGCTTAAGTGAGGTCCTGGGCCATGGACAGAGGTGTGTTTGGGTGTTCATTGCTTGGTCAATGCTAATGAGGATAATGAGGATATAGTCCTGCTCTCTGCAACTGAGCATGCCATAGCTGTGGCACACCAGTAATACCCACAGGCTCCAAAACCATCATGACTTTCACAGCAGTATGTCTCAGCTGTGCTTTGCAGAGCTGGGAGCCTAAGTCCATGTGAGCACAGGTCTGCAAGTGCAGGCACTGCTAAGGAGACCTACACTTCTTACACAGTTGGCCTCAAATCTCTCCCTGAGAACCAGAGCCAGGAAACAACCTTGGGTTCACAAGCTGCAGCAGCAGAAAAGCACTGAACCCTGTAAGTTTCAGAAAGAATGACCCCACAATTTATCCATCAGATGCAAGCAAATCATAACAAGAGACAACATGAAACAAGCACTTTCCTGATCACTTCCCCACATCTGTCACCAACATTTGAAAAAGTCAGGCACTGAATGCAGCTAAAAATAAGGGCTTGGTGTTCAGCTGACTGAGTCACCGCCAGCCAGCTAAGCAGAAAGATCTGCCAAGCAAAAGGGCCTGGCAGGGGAACTTCTACTATTGCTCTTAGCCTGTTGCAAATGCAAAGAAATACAGCCCACAGAGGAAGGTGTTTAAATTAGGTCAGGCTGTTTTGGCATTTGCTCCAAGTGGAGAGCACATAGGGATAATCACCAAATCTGACACTCAGCAGCTTGTGAGGATTGGGTAATCTGTGCTATTTGTTCGTGCCCTTAGTCATTAGCATTTCAACATGAAAATGCAGTATCTTTGGATTCAGGAGTTCATAATGCTCATACTCTCATTTTCTCTGGCACAGATACTCCTTTTTCCCCACATGCTGTTCCAAGCTCCTGGTTAATAAATACAGCAAAGCAGTGGAAATGCCTAGTTATGTCCATCTGCATCCTCATTTCTTGCCTCATCTCCTTTCTAAGGCGATCAGTGCAATTACCTATCCAGGCCTTAAGCCAAGATGACAGAACAGAAATAGAGGCAAATCCACCAAAAGCATGAGGGAACCCCTTCACCACTGCCTCATGCTTGTATGCATAGACTAGAAAAGCAGGGATAAGCATGTATGAATGGAGTAACCAGAAAAGGACAAGTGAGGACACCTGAGAAGCTTGACACCAGGATTTCCAGGGTCAACAGGGTTACTGACCCAAAACCACTGCAGACACACCTGCACAGTCACGACCTGGATGGCAAGGAAAATGGGCCACCTTCATGCACAGCACTCAGCAATAATGGGGTGACAATGGGGCAACAGAGGGAATAATTCCTATCGGATCTGAGCACAATCTGGATGGAGATCCTTGGTGTCAGGCAACCAGCTCATCCTACCAACATGAATAAAGATCTGGCCTTACGCTCACCACAAGCTTGTCAAACCCCAGCAATGATGGGAAGTGGCATTCCCCTTGGAAAAAAGGGCAATCCACAGAAGATGCATTCCCAGGGAGCTGGACTCACTTTATCTGTGTGTGAGATTTACACCAAAAGGAACACATTTACTTCAAAGGTCAGAAAAAGCAAAGACACAAAGTAGAAAATGTACTATCAGGACTATGCAGAATAAGAAGCATCCCAATATTTCACCTCAGCACCTTCACCTACTCCAAACTCCTTCTCTTGACCTGACACCTTCCCTTATTACCTGAAGATGAATCTTTTATCACAGGGATTCTGGTCCTTCCTTCCAGCCTTCTCTCAAGAGTGAAAAACCAAAAGACCTCTTGTATGCATACCTTGTATGACTTGCCTTCTGTCTCTTTTGCTTGGGATCTGCACATCTCAAGGCAATGAGAAGCTGTAATTTTGTTGGGGTTTTTTTTCTAGACCTGGAGCTGTCTTTCCCTGTGATGCTCACACCAACACCAAACATGGTGCCACACTGACTGAAGCTGGCAGCAATGTGTCTGAGTGAGTGAAAGAACCCTACAGGCTTGTACATGCCCTTGGATTTAGAGGGTCACTTCTGAGCAACATTCAGGCTCACAGAACAAAGCCAGGCTTTGTGGATGATATCAATTTGCTATAAAACAACACTGGCTGACATTTCCTCCTTATCAGGTACCCACTTAACACTAATTACTAACACTGCCTCCCCTCACTGGGCTGTCCTCAGCCTAAATAAGGTTATGGGTTTCAGGGTCACCTGCCCTTTCCCATGCAGGCATGGTATGCCAAATTTCCTTCCAATACAAATTCATTACAGTTTAACAGTTAACACCTCAGCCAGTTCTCAGAAATGCTGATGGGTGCTGATCTTCTCTGCTCATGGATTTAAAGGCATTTGTCCAGATCAGACAACATTCAAATTCCCTACAGGTAATACACAGACAGATATAGTTCAGTCTCCCCCAAGACAGACTACTCACAGATCCACTCCAGGCATCTCTGCTTGCAATGGGAACTGTCATGGGTCAGGGACACATGCCAAAAGAGCTGTTTTCTTAGCAGTCATAGTTTAAGTTATAAATTAAGGGAGCTTAATTACTGCTTGGACTGGAAGGAAAGCATCAGGGATTCCTGTTCAGAAAAAGCTAGGGATATATCCTGTAAAGAGCATAGGCCATTGGAAACAAGGGTTCCTGAAACACCTCAAAAGCAGTGCAGAAAGACACTGGAATGGTTAATTTTTGCACAGCTGCATATGCAGCCTTGCAACAGAGTAGTACAGCAGCCAGCACCCAAAACAATCACAGCCTCCATACCAGCTTTGGTTATTCTTCCCAAGACCAAGTTATTTACAAAAGCAGAGCATTTCTCCAGTGAAAACAGCTTAGACTTCCATCTCTTACTCAAAACCTGATCAGGTTAAGGGACAAGAAGACATGTTTTGTCTCCCTTGTGATCATAAGCCCATATTACTTCTCATCCCATTCTTTCGGCAGGACAGACTAGGTGACAAATGAAAGCAAACCCTCCCTCCAGGACAGCAGACGATCAAAGAAAAACACACATCACAGCAATTATTAATTAAGCTTTTATGTTTACAGTAGTCACTTAACCAGGAAACTAAGGGGGTTTAATTAGAATTCTGATGCTGGAGTGACTTCATTGGGAAAGCTGTAGGATGACCAGAACAGCTGCTCTTAAACATTTTTCCAAAGAAGAAAAAGTTGAGATCATACTGTGCTTTAGAAGTAAAGTTACATGGTTTAATTTGCATAGCACAAGCATATGTAAGTAGCTGGATTAACAGGCTTTGATAAAGCCCATCTCAATTTGTGTTATTGCTTTTCTTTTAGATCTGAGCAACTGGTTGCTGGTCTCTGCTGGAACCAAGGTAAGCTTACTGGCACTTACTGCTCAGTAGCTCAATTCGGTTGAGCCAAGGAACATTCAACACTACGAAGTTGCAAATGGTGTGCTAAGGAGAGAAAGAAAAAAGTAGTTATCAGATTAAGAGCATAAACCAGTGTGATTTACCAGTGCTCTACACTTCTGGAGCTCTCTAGATCTGCCTTCTCCATACAAGTACTCTGGAACTCTTGTTTGTACCCCCTCAGGATGAATCATGTCTCTCAAACAAACCCCAACATACAAAGCTGAGCAGTCAGCACCGCTGAGGATCAAGTTACCTTCTTTATCCACCCACAGAGGAAAGCCACCCACAGGGAATATACATATACGCATATCACTGCCATTAACAGAAGGAATGAAGTGCTACAGAAAAACTAGACTCGGGCCAGATCAAGGCAGACATTTGGTGCTCCCATCCAAGTACTCTGTACAGGGCATTGCCATTAGACAAAACACCCATGTAACAGCTTGGTGGGCACGGAGAGCAGGGGCAATCTGCCTCTTGTGGGCAGTGCTTCGCCCAAAGCTCTGTTCACAGGAACACAAGTCCTTCAGGAAAGCATGCCAAGCCAAGCACATTTACACCACCATGGTAAAGAAGAGCCAAGAATGGAATGGAGACTGAGGACCCTTGATGGAGAGTCATGAGACCTGTAGGCTTGGCAGAGTCTCCTCCACATATCCTTCTGAGCCAGACCATGAGCACTTGTTAAGAGGATTGAGGCACACAGTGCTCCAGCTTCAGAGCCCTACTTATAAAACAGGCAAAAGGCCCAGCCTTCTCTGACGTCATCATCCAGCAAGGCAAGTTCTGCAAGGGCAGTACCTTGTTACATGTAAAGGCATGATGTCTCCGATCTTGGCTGGGGCAGACAGGGGACACAGCCCACAGCCCTCAGTACTACAGCAACCAGAGGGATGGGGTTGGAAACTGGGGAGCCTGCACACTGCCCTGGAGCCTACCTTAGCCATCTGCGGCTCGTTGTGCAAAGCACAGCGCTGGAGATCTGCCGCTGGCTTCGTGCAAGTCGTCCGGGCAATCTCCACTTCCATTATGTACTTGACTCCGGCCACAATCTGCAACAAGACCAGTCAGCAGAGGCAGCTTTATTTTCAGCACACACAGAAGAGCTCTCTGACGAGAGAAGCCTAACAAAGAGGCAGCAGCTTTCCTGTTACATGATGGAAACCAGACCAGCAAAGTAGAGAGGGGACTACACATGGCAACCCCCACGAAAGAGGCACCTGGCACTCTTTCAGAAACAGGAAACAAAATCCAAGTAAACACATCGCAGTGAACAGCTTCCTCAGCCATAAACAGAGACGTGTTAACTCATCAGAAGCACAGGGAAGTCACTGACTTCTTCAATAACACGCAGCACTCAAGGGCACTCAGACTGACAGGAGCCAAGCTATTAAAAAGGGGGTTTATTCACTTTCTGTGGGAAAAAGCCGCAGAACCGCTGAGGCCCGAGGCCTGTCCTGCCTCCACGAGACTCCCAGCGGCCTCACTCCTCCCCAGCCGTCCCGGGCGCTCCCCTGCCTCTTGGCGCTGATGACCCGCACCACCCGGCTGGAGTACATGTCGTTGCTGGCCCTGTTGTACGTAGTGATGGCGAACTGCAGGGCCCGCTGCAGGCCCTCGTCGT